TGTATCAATGCCAAAGACTGTAACTTTGTATCAATGCCAAAGCCTTATCTTTGTATCAATGCCAAATACTGTAACTTTGTATCAATACCTAAGACTGTAACTTTGTATCAATGCCAAAGACTGTAACTTTGTATCAATGCCAAATACTGTAAATTTACATTGGAAACTGTTTTTTTTCTAGAATGACTTTATGGCTTTGAGAAATCATTTCTGAAAAGAAAAATCATTATTTGCGGGATTTAAATGAAAAAGTATTGAAAATAAAGCACAAGCAACGACTGTGTTCTGAAAGCAAAAAGATCATCGTGGCCAGATTAGGATTCGAACCTTGTGAACCTCATATTGTTACGCTGTCGACCTTACCAGTCACCAAAAGCCTAATTGTGCTACAGTTATATCCAAAATGATTTAAAGGGAGGTAACTGTATATTCAATTAACCACCCGTGACATGGTTCCCTTAAGGTAGGCTCTCTTTCTTTTTTAATTCTGATTTTATTTTGTGTGACTTTTCGTTTTCGATATATTGTCAGAGTGGGCAGCTTGGTCCGAGTATGAGAGCGAGTATCACCGGGCTACAAAGACCAGTGGAGTTGTCGGTCCTATCGTCGGTTCCGTCGTCGTCATTATCTTCGTCATATCCATCTTTTGTTTCACATCGCACGTTCGAAGAAGGCGACAGGAAATATTGGCTAGCACTGCGCGACGTGCCCGTGGCAGCAATCAAGGTAAATACATTTATGGGGTTGAGCCTTGGGGTTGGGGGATATTTTATGGTAAATAGACAAATGTTGATGAAGATTACATTTTCTAACAAGATATGATAAATATCGTATGGTAAAACGTTTACTAACACGTGGAACTATATACAATGTAATTATTATTGTCATTGTTATGAAATATTTGTTTAATTCTTTTTTTCAAAAGAAATATTCCACAAATATCGCATGTTGCCGTAACTTTACATTTGAAAGGAATTTTAGTTGATGGAAATTTGAATTATTGAAAATAGAAACTGCACTAGTCTAACTTGGAACCTTTACATAACACAGCCTACACTTTATCTATGTTGACAGATAGGAGTTAAATTTGCACAGCATCAAAAAAGTATCCAATATATAGGCCGTAAAACTGTACAGGGGAAGCGACTCTAAATCAGAGGAATTCCCATTGATTGTTTCATCTTATAGAAGGGAGACAACTCCAAGTATAACAACTATGAGTTGATCTCGTCCTCGCTATTGCTATACTGTACCTTAATACATTGGTGACACTCCCCGGGATTATAACTGTGTAGTAGTATACTGTCCCTTAATACATTGTGACACTCCCCGGTATTATAACTGGGTAGTGGTACACTGTACCTTAATACATTGGTGACGCTCCCCAGGATTATAACTGTGTAGTGGTATACTGTACCATAATACATTGGTGACACTCCCCGGGATTATAACCGTGTATTGGGATACTGTACCTTAATACATTGGTTACACTCCCCAGGATTATAACTGTGTAGTGGTATACTACAGGGGAAGCGACTCTAAATCAGAGGAATTCCCATTGATTGTTTCATCTTATAGAAGGGAGACAACTCCAAGTATAACAACTATGAGCTGATCTCGTCCTCGCTATTGCTATACTGTACCTTAATACATTGGTGACAATCCCCGGGATTATAACCGTGTAGTGGTATACTGTACCTTAATACATTGTGACACTCCCCGCTATTATAACTGGGTAGTGGTATACTGTACCTTAATACATTGGTGACACTCCCCGGGATTATAACTGTGTAGTTGTATACTGTACCTTAATACATTGGTGACACTCCCCGGGATTATAGCTGTGTAGTGGTATACTGTACCTTAATACATTGGTGACACTTCCCGGGAC